TTTGCGACGAGTGACCAACTCTTCACCCATGCCTGCGAGGGATCCACCTAGAGAGGTACATACACTAACTACCTCTAGACAACTAACTAGGTGGGGATCGTTTATCTTTTTAGTTTCTGCCACAGGAACCTTCGAATGGGAGGATGCCGGTCTGCTTGCATCCGAAGTTCCTGTAGAGGCAACTGAAACCTCTACTGGATGTTCCCTTTTGGTTGTTGGTCGTCTAGGCAGAAGGGAACGATGTGGTTAGGGTCACCACATTTGAGGCATTGATCAACGACTTTCTTTTCTTTTCAAACTTTTTCTGTGATCCCTAACTTTTCCCAAGGTCTACCTTCGGGCAGGCCATGATGGGGTGGATACGGATGATCCCAGTTCCCGTTCCACGTGCCTCTTCCTCTTCCCCCTGTGGAGTTGGGTCCTCGACCACCTTGCGAGGGACCATTGCCCCTTCCTCCCACGTAGTAGCTTCCTTCGCCACCAGCCCTCTGGGTGTCGGGTCCTCTTTCTCCACGACCGCGACTTCCTCTTCCTCTGCCACGACCTCTTCCTTGTCGCCCTCCCCCGTGGGCTGCAACGACCACGTAGTCTCCCTCTTGAACTACCGATCCGTTGTGTGCATCTCCCTCCATACCATAGTCTATCTGGTCGTAGGAGAGAGTTTCGACACCTCCTTCTTCAAAGGTCAGAAGAAGGTTGTCTTTCCTAGGAATACTTTCTGAGATCGTACGGTTTTGGCATTTCTTGCCGGCTTGCAGATCTTTTCAATAATGGCAGTAGGTTGCCTCCACCAAGAAACCCGCGTGATCTAACGCGATCTTGCTGAACTTCTCATAGGTCATCCCCTCTTCCTTGGTACGGGGATATAGCTGAGTGCAGAGAGGATCGGGTAGTGCTCTAGCAAAGTTATTAAGAATCTGCATTGGGGTGAGTCCATGCTCAGCGCATTGCAGAAGTTCGTCCATGGTAGATTTAAGTGCGGATACACTTTTCCATTTCCTATCTGCGATATTCAAGATTAACATTTCAGTTCTCCGGAGTACGTTCTTATCTTCAAATCGTTCCCGGACCGCTTTAAATAAATCTTCAATACAGGTTTGCTGGGAATATTCTACCATAGACTGACAATTAACTTCTTTCTGCAGCGAAATTGCAAAACTCATTGCATCTCCGACCATACACAAACTGGCCATGAGAACCCTGTCCCAATACGGAATACGTTGCCCGTACACTTAGGACTCAACCGCTGCAATCCAATGCAAAACACTTTCTTCCTTTTTGTCGGTATATGTCCACGACACTTTTATCTTTCTGACTTCCCCTACGTCTTCTTGCACCACACCCTTTTTCTTCTTATCTCCGTCTCCATCACCATTTCCATCTCCTCCATCTCCTTCACTGCTACTTACCAATTTCTCAATCACGGTGGGGGTCAAAGTTTTATTGATCTGCTCGTTTAGTTTTACAATGTATGCTTGCATATGTTGATCAACTTCTGCTGCAGATCTCTGTAGGAAGGCATTCCAAACTCCCTCAGGTTCATACTGATGGGCTTCAACTTTCTGCAAGGTCTTGCTCATCGCTGCCAACTCCTGCTTTGTATGGAGAACAATTTCTGTCAAGAGAGCAAGTTGTTCTTCTGTTGCTGTTTGCTTTCCTTTCTGCGCTCGTAATTCTCTTTGCAACCTTTCACCCTTTGCCTGCAGTTTTTTCCTTTCTTTCAGCTCTTGTCGCTTTGCAGCTAACATTTTGCTGTGCAATTCTGTTCGTTTTTCTTCCAGCAAGAGTTCCTTTTCTCCTTTGTCTTCAATTGATGCCAGTTTCGCGATAAACGTATCCCGTTCTTCATCCGTCTCTTCAATCCTTTCGCTAGAATAGCTATATTGGTCATACCAATTTAAGGGTCTGACCTGTATATTCAACCCACCAGTCTGACTGCTTTTGCCCCTTTCAGTTCGACGTCTGATGAGTCTGTCTGCGTCATCTGCAGGTTCATCTTCTTCCTCTATGGTCTTTAATTCTTCCTGCAATTCTTTTTCGATCTTTTCTTTCAACTCTTTTTTAATTCTTTCTTTTTCTATTTGAGTTTTCTTCCTCAGCTCTTCTTCTTTCTGTTTCTTTTTCTGTTCTTCTTTCTTTCTTTTTCTCGGCTAAGCGGCGGTCTACTTCTGCCTGCTCTGCTGCTGAGAGTCCGGGTTTCGCAGTTCCGGATCTCATCATCATGCGGGAGGTGCACACTCTCCGAAAGCCGAGAGGAAAGAAGAAACGGAATAATGGCCCCAAAAGAACAGACTGAGCCACCATCCCGTACATGGGATAGTCATCCATGGTGGAGAACAGCACAGGGGAGACCTCCGCTGGACCACCAAGTAGCTACCCCAGATCCTAGTCTACTTGAGTGGATGAGATCTGTAACTTTTTTTTTTTTTTTTTTAAGTCTGGATGTCGCTGCTTCAGAATAACGAAATTTAATCATGCAAATAATTTACAACGTTTTCTTATTCAGAAGTCCTTTTTTTTTTAATTTGCTTGCTTGTTGTCTGTCTTCCACTTCGCTGTGTCTTTTTGCAAACACTAATTAATCTAGATGGCTGGTCTTAGGCGCAGGAGTTGACTGATGTCAAATATACTGGACAATACTTCAGAACAACTCCGATTCGTCCAGATTGATTATGCTTAGGGTCCACTTCTAATCTGACGTGGCAGACTGCCTCAACTCCCAATCAATCCTAGCTTACAACTACTCGTCAGACCAGATGAGAGGTCAGTGAGAACAGATGTTGACTCTCTATCCTGACTCAGACTCTACTGCCCTGACTGCCAGACCAGACCCAGATATTATGACCAGACAGCAGCAGCGACCTCCAGAGGGAAGGAAAAGGACACACAACACACAGATTTGCAATGAATTGAGGTAAGTGGGACAGGAAGTTCTTCTCTTCTTTGTAGCCGTCGATGAAGACTCCACGTTCGCTCCGATTGCTCCAATCGCAGGTAAGTCTTCTCCTCCTTAGCCCCTTCTTCTTCGGCAAACTTCCCCCTCTATCCCAATCCAACTCTACTTCGCCTCTCTTCTTACTTCGTCTCTCGCCGGCTATACTCAAGCCAGCTTATCCTTCTCGCCGGCCATGATCATGCCAGCGCGTCCAGTGAGAGTAACAAGTTCTGCTCCGATACCAAATTGCAAGGAACCCGACTGTTCATCACTTGCTGGAGTGCATCAGATCACATGCATTTATACAGATTTCACAGATTGTGATGTCTCACACAAAGGCCAATAGAAGATGAATGAGGACCAGGAAGCCCAACTCAATTATCAAACCCAGATTAAAGAGAGAACATCAATAGTCCAAAATGTACAGCGCCGAACAGAGTTACAAGTCTTCTTCAATAAACATGAGTTCCCTGGCCTGGCGCTCATCAGCACCAACTGGCAAACGTCAACAACAGCGCTCAACAGGTAGGTGTCACCATAGCTCACCCCTTCCCCCTTGATCTCTCTCTTCTCTCCTTCTGTCTATAGTCCTGATCTATTCTCACTCATCATGCATGCACACTCCCAATCACACGAGGATCTACTTTGAAGTTTGAATTCTACTCACTGAACTCTTCTACTAACTATCCCTACTAGTGTACTAACTGGCGCTGGCGCCGCTATGGCTGCCTTCTATCCAGCCAGCGCTCACTTCTTGTTTCACACATAGTGCTGCTCTTCAACCCAGCGCTGCTCTCACACAACTAGCGCACAAGTGCCACAGCACTTCCACACTTCATGCAAGATGAGCATCTGTCCAAATGGGAGGCTGGCCAGTCCTTTATAGTGCTGGACTGGCCTGGCGTGCCCTGCATTCAGCCTCAAGTGTCTGGGACTCCTGCCCAGTACCTGTTGTTGCAAAGTGTATGTCCCAGTATCTTTTCCCATGGTCTGCTGCTGCTTTGGGCCATCGGGCCTGTCTGTTGGAGTCCTGGTCTGAATCAGGGCTGACTCGTGGGATTATGACTGGACTGGGACTGTGGCCTTTGACTCATTGCCGAACAGACATGACTTTCCATCGAGGAGACATGACCCTAACTCAGTCTTGAAAACTGTGTCCAAGACCTGTTCGTTCAGGACCTGTTTGTGACTGTTCAAAATGACTTTTCATTTCATTATGGATGCAACGTTTGCCTCAGGAACTTTGTCTTTTGGGTTCCTGCTCGTGAATTTAAGTTCTGGCCGACAGGGCCCCTCGCTGTTGGGGCATTCATCTGGGGTCTAATTCGTAAAGGCCCTTTTAAAAACTCAAAATTTCACAATAGGATGTATCGAAGGGAACATTCTTTTGAGAGTTGGAAATAGTCGTAGAAAATTTGAAAGCAAATTCTTTTGAGAATTGTCAAAACTCATAGACATACCAATGGGCCTAGCTCAGTTGGTACACCCAGGAAACACATACCGAAGTTTGAATCCAGATACAATCAGATGATCAGAAGAAAATCATTCTGAATTACCTGGGGCCATCAGTTGAATGATGACATCTCAAGGCCATTGCCCTTTAAAAAAAAAAAAAAAAAAACTCATAGAAGTCAAAAGAGCCAGAAAACATGCAAACCGTTGAAAATCAGTCCCTTGGGAAACCTCACGCATGATTGTGTGTGTGTGTGTGTGTGTGTGTGTGTGTGTGTGTGTGTGTGTGTGTGTGTGTGTGTGTGTGNGAGAGAGAGAGAGAGAGAGAGAGAGAGAGAGAGAGAGAGAGAGAGAGAGAGAGAGAGAGAGAGAGAGAGAGAGCAGCTTCCAGAGCAGCATGGTAGGCTACAGAGCTGACAGAAAACAAGGCTTGAGTGTGCAGAATCCAAGTGATTGGCCGGAATGGTGGTTTTCTAACTTCGTACCAAGTTTGTGAGATGTACTCTGCGTGCACTTCTTTTAATGCCAAAATTTCGAGTCATGTAGTACTGGGTGCATCTGTTTGGGCAAAACTGATCTGTTTCTATTTCATGTCGTTCTGCCAGGTATTCAGGAAGCAAAGAAAGGAGCATCAAAGCCAAAGAACGCTCCTGGACGATATGCGAAGGTGAATTAGAAAGGGATAAATAACTCAATGGAAGACTCCATGAAGAAATGTTTGTTCTTATGGTGATATAAATGAACTTGCATCAGGCGATGGTTTTCTCAATACCAATTCCTAGTAGGTCTACTTCCGCCACACCTACCTTCCTCTCCCTTTCCTCGTCTCCTGTTTTGTCCTCGTTCTACGCCAACCTCCAACCACCTTCCCGTCATGGTGTTTCCTTTGTGATGCCCCCCCCATCATCACGACCTCCACCCCCCCAGGTCCAGTTTTGCCAGGATGACCTTCCTCTACCCTCTGCTCTATCCTCCCTTCCTCACCCTCAACTGTCCATGTGATGAATCGTGCTATGGCCTTCCTCCACTCCACGTGTTTTTCCCCTGTTATTAAACCCACCATCGTCACCACAATCATGATCTCCATATCTTTCTTTCTTTTCTGTTGTTTTTCTTTTTTCTTTTTTTTCCCCCTTTTATCTTCCTACTTCCTTGTCATCACTGCACGGCAAGATTTCATTAAGTTTTGAGTTATGTACCGTGCATCGAATTCACACATTGCAATCACCACCTTCTTGTCCTCCTTTCCAGCCATTATAACTGTCATTCTTCTGGACACCCCTCCTTTCCTCCCCTCCAGTCCCCCCCTCCGCTCTCCCCCCCTTCCCCAGCCCTCCCCCGGGGTGCCGCCCACTCCCCCCACCCATCCCTACCGCCTGGGCAAATGCAGTTGCAGAAATTCGCTGGGCTTACAGAGTTCATTAAATTATTTATACTTTTATGCCCAATCTGTTCTTAGCACCAATGCAGTCTTCAATGGCGGCAAGGTTCATACTCGGGACATAGGATGTCTGTCGACACGACTCGACAGGCCCATGAAATATGAAATCCTGGGAGGTCCCATACTCTGCAGGTCAAACTGAACAGAAGAGCTGAACAAAACAACTTTTCGACAGCAAGCCTTCATGTAACAAAGGAAAAAGTTATCGTCAATCTCAACAATTATCAAGTCAGAATAATCATTAATGGTTAATGTTATTCCAGCCTTGTGGTTGAATGGCACAAAGTACTACAAAGTTACAAACATGTAACCGTCGATAAACAGGTCATGAGCTCAAATCCTGACGGATAGAACCAAGTTAGGGGCCAACCTTCTGTTAAGAAAGGGGTCACAGTAATGTCAGCCATGGGAGTGCTGTGACTGAATGGTGGTGCAGTGGTGCACCCATGAACTGCTGATAAACAGACATAAGCTCAAATCCTGAGGGGCTCAGATGAATGAAATGATCTCTGAATTACCTGGGACCTATGGGAAACTTGCTTAGGATGGCCAGAGCTTCTGAGGAGAGATTCCCTGGCCCTCTCCCTGACGTCTCCCCTGGGAATGAACCTTTCTTTCTTTTTTTAACCCTACAGTAATGTTGCATAACACTTTATCTTCATGGACATACTCTGCTGTGTGTGGTTCAGAACGTGTTTGCTGCCGGTGGCTTTCTGGGCCCTTGCTCTACGCTGTCTGTCGCCGCACTTCGAGTGTCCACTGATCCCTTGCCTTTGTGGCTTGCATACTCCTTTCCATTCTCCATGCTATTTGGTGGTTGCATCTCCCTTATCCCTAGCTGTGTGCCCTTTGCTGGTCTCCCTGCTACGCCTCCTGAGCCATGTTTCCGTCCCTGGTCCTCTTGCCTTGAGGTGTGTGAAGGAGTGGAATGGAGTGAGCGGGGGGGGGATCGGTTGGGGGGAGGGATGGTTGTGGGTCCTGGGTGTGGGGGTGGAGTATGGGGAGGAACAAAGGATAGAGAGGGGGTTATGGGTTGCTGACTGTGTTTGTTCCGGGGGTACTGGTCTGTGTGTCTGAGCTCCCTGCTCCCTTCCTCTTTTTTTTTTTTGTTTCAAGAAATTTCATGTTCGTGGGGTTCTGCTTAATGGGTGATAAGATCATCCCCCTTAAGCAGATCCCTGTGTTGAAGGCTCCATTTATTGGTGGGGAGCAGCACCTGCTGGAAATCAGGTCCAGCGTCCCTATGCAATACAATAATTTTATAACCAGATCCGTACTGTGTTCATGCTGCTTGTGCATTCTGTATAGCAGTTCTGCCCACCACTTCAAGTGCTATAAAGTAGTATAAACTGTTTCCAAGCACTGCTCTCTGTTCGCAGGTACTGGGACTGCTGTGTTACAACTTACAACTAACTACTGCCTTCACCCGAATAGAACGCCGGGTCATTATAGTTGTATTTGGCACAACTTTCAGCCCAGATACGGCGATAATTACCGGGCGTTCTATTCGGGTGAAGACGGTAGCACTACTTTCTGTCTCATCTATTTCTGACTACCCTGTGCACTGTGTCTATGTCCTCGTGCGTAACAAGGGTAAGTGTATCATATGCAGACAATTAGGCCACTGCCCCCTTGTGATGTTCAACCGAGTGTCCCCTTATGCAGAAGGAGGCATTGATTGCCTCCCTAAGGCAGGGAGGGATTGACCGCCTGTCGTCCCAATAGCCAGACAAAGAGTGTTTCCAGTGCAGCCTTCAAGACCCAAAGAGCAAACCACAATTGTCCCCAAGAAACCCTAATCAGCGAACATCGTGCCAGGAGAGCAATCAACAGCTCACCTCTCAATTGCCATTCCCCCAAATAACACATGCCAAAATTCCCCCTACCCCCCCGGCGGCTAAGGAATGGACCCCCCCCTACCCTGGAACCTCCGGAGCCAGTCAACCCTAAACAGTCAAAGACCCATCATCGCTTTAACCCACCCCCACCGGAGAGAAAGAGGAGAGAGGGAAACTCACAATCAATCTCAAACCCAAAATTCTCTTCCACTGAAAACCCACCATTACCACAGAGAGAGCGAGCCGACGTGTAATACACAGACCTCGTGTTATCATGGCTGTTGGTGCTGTTGCTGTAGGGGATGTTGTCAGTGTAGTCATAGCTGTTGTTGGTGTTGTCGTTGTTGGCGATGTTATTGTTGTAGTTGTTGTGAAGTATCATTGCCGCTATTGCACTTGTTATCATTGCTGTTGTCGTCATTGTTGTTGATGTTGTTGCTTCAATCTTATTAACGCCGTTGTCGTTGTTACAATCGGCCCCTGCCTGCTGTTCGTCTTCGTTCTCGCCTTTCATGCAGGAGCACCTGACGGTTTGCCCTGACTGCATCATCCAATCAGTGTTCTTCTTTTCCATCATCTGCAGGTCCACCATCTGCGAACGAACCTCCAACTCATAACACGGGTTACCACCCTCAGCGAAGAGGGCTTTGCAGGCACACACCAAATCATCCGCCCACCTTCAATCGATGAAGGCATCAAACTGTGATGTGACCCCTCCTCCAGCCCCCAGATGATATCCAGCATGCACTGGGTTATGTCCTCCAGCCAATCAGCCAATGAAGTCGCCCCCCCTCCGACCTCCGGCCATTTTTGCCACTGTGAGGACAAAAACCCCACGTGCACCTGCAGCCGCCCATGGTCCTCCTCCAAGGTGGACAAGGAGCAGTTTTGAGGCATGGAAGACAGGATAGGTCCTGATATGTGGGGGTACAACAAGCACATAGGAAGGCCCAAATGGGTCTGCTCCCGCAGTATCAAGTACCTTCCATAGGCCATAGTAGACAGGCAACAACTTTCGTGATATATCTTGTTCATTAGTTAACTCTGATCTTTTCACCCAGACCCAGTGACCAGGCCGAATAGGAGAGGGAGGACGATGCTTATTAGCCTGCTCTATCATCCTTTTTTGAGCCTTGAACATGCTAGTTTTGGCTTTCTCTCGATCTTTCTCATAACTCTTAGTAAATTCTGCAGTCCCAGGAGTTAGTTTAGGCTTAGCCTTGTCAATGAGATCGTCAAGAGGTTGTCTTGGGTCTCTGGCAAAGTGCAGCCTATTGGGTGTAAAGCCTGTAGTGCTATGAGCAAAAGTATTATACATGAGTTGGGCCCTTGACAAATGTTTGTCCCAGTCCTGTTGATCAGGTGTGATCACAGGACACAGCAGCTAAAACAAGACTTGGTTCATCACTTCAGCCTGTCCATCGGCTTCAGAATCGGGAAGTCATGTCTAACCTGGAATGGAGGTAGTCTTTACAGAAAGACTGCCATTCATCGATGAAAAAAATGGGGTCTCTGCCACTGACAATAGAGGTTGGACACGCATGGATATTAACCCACCTCTCAGCAAACAACTATTTGATAAGAGGAACTCTAGCCTCAACAATAAGGGAATAAACTTGACAAACTTAGAAAAACGATCAACATATACCATGATCTGTCTCATGCCACAACGGGTGGTTTTGCCCAATCAGTAAAGTCAATGGACACAGACTCACGTGGACCATCAGAAATAGGCAATGGTTCGAGTAGCCCCATAGGAGGTCGTTTGTGGACCTTGTTCCTTTGGCACAACTTGCAAGTCTCTAAGTACTTGAGAATATCCTCCCTCACTCTTAACCAATAGAAGCGCTGGGTCAGGGCAGCATAAGTTTTTAGAAACCCAAAGTGACCACGAGCATCACGACTCTCTAAAATCAGATGAGTTATGATCTTGCTCATTAGGAAGGCGCATGCGTTTTTCCCCTTCACTGATGGTCTATAGGGGAAGTCAAGGTATAGCCTGACTCAGAATTGGGATCAACCTGCAAATTCCTAATAATAAGGCCAAAGACAGGGTCCTAAGGCAATGCGTCAACAATAGCTTGGAGTGTGGAGTCTCCAAATGAGTAAGTATGAGCAATGACAACAAATCAAGCTTGCGAGAAAGAGCATTAACTTTTTTTTTTTTTTCGACAATTTTTGGAAAATGTTTGGCAAACTAACGTGTTGGGAATCGGGCCTAGTGTCCCATGTAGAATATACAAAAGATTTGAAATACCAGGGCCATTACCTGGCTTTGACTAAAAACAATTTGAAAACTATGAAAAAAGTTCAGGAAGATTTAGGAAAAACATGGATAACTGTTGACCTATTCCCAGGCTACTCAAGCAGCAATTACCACAAAAGTCC